ACCAAAATATCTACTTGAAACTTAATTAAAAATTTTCTCATGAAAAAAGCATAAAAAAGAGTCTCCCGTCATAACTGTTGGAATACGAAGGAGAAAACTAAGCAAAAATGTTTAAGCTGTAAAGTAAAGACTTTACGAGAAATCCCTGGTGAATGGAAGCCGTCACAGTGCAGGCCGGAACTCTTTCTTGTATTCTATATACTAAAAGAAGAAACTTGAACTTTTCGAAAACGACTTTCAGAAACCGGAAGTTGAATGGTTTCAAATGTGACCACAAAAAAAAAAGAAAAAAAAAATTGAGAATGAAATTTTCGACTAAATTAACTAAAATTTGAATAGAATAATAATTTGAGAAATTGTTAAATATATGTTTCTTTAGTCGATGGAAAGTTTAAAAGTTTATTTTAGAATTTAAGAGAAACTCCGTTGACTAATTAACACAATTATTATTCTCTCTTTTCCGATTCTTTCAATGACAGCAGCATCCAGTATTCTGCAAATACAAGTTGGAACTGAAGCATTTGCAATAGTTGAGCACAATTTAAATTTCAAATCATTTGAAATACCACTAACCATTCTTTCCATGATGTTCAATACACCACTCTAGAAAATAGTATTCACGAATAAATCAATAATCAAGTAAACCAAAGTAGAATCAGTCTATAAAAGGTAATTGAACTTTTAAATTGCTTTTTAAAAAGAAATATGTTTTTAAATACTGTTTCTTTTATTTTTTTTAATAACTAACTTTAAAGTAAAATCACCGATTTTCGAAAAAAATGATATTTTTGTATGAAAATCTGGTTGTGAAACAAAATATTTACATTTTGTCATATGTATTAATATTCATAATACCACAAATTTAATTTAATTTACATCTGACAATTGAAATTTAAAAAAAAAATTGTTGATTATTTAAGCATAAAATATGTATGTATATAATTTATTAAAATGGTATCCAGTAATTTATCTTGTATAATTACATAAATTTGTTACTAATTCATACAACAATGATTATATATATATATTAATTATCCAACAGCCCGCGGATACAAACTAAATCTCATGACAAGTAAAATTTACAGTACAAGTGGAATTCCATGCCAAAGGATTTCAACAATAATAGTCAAATAATCTGCTCCTCTTATTATCAAATAAACAGATGTGAATGCATGTCAAATGAATTCGACATTTATATTTATTATGTTTAATTGAAATCGCTTCATAACTGTATAATTAACTTATCGCTATGACATATATTAATATAAACGAACATATTTCTTTATGATTTAATATACTTTTGTTTATAAAATATTTGTTTTAATATCAAATTTTTAGTATTTTGTCTATTTTTTTTTATTTTTTAATACAATTCATGTTTTTTTTAAAATTAATGGAACTTTTTTCTATGTAAAATTAATTAGAATGAATATTGCACGACTTCTCATTTAAGGTAAACCGTTGATGAGGTGCTAGTTAGGTTACCCACACCAATTTTGTCTAGATAGGAAACAATTAGACGTTGACCAGAATGCTTTTTCTTCATCTATTAAATGAATTCGTTTATAATTTACATCGACGAATTTACTAAGATATTTTTCTTAGTTTTGTAGTTATTTAAAATTTTAAAGTTTTCCCAAGAAGATTAATTTTTTACTTTGGAAATCATTATTGTTAATTAATTAATTTTATGCTTGAATTATAATTTGAAATTTTTAATGATCAAAGATGCTCAAAATAAAATTATTCAATTTTAAAAAATCTCGTTTTTAACATCTCACGGATTTGCCAATCATTGGAAATAAAACATAACAAATGAATACCTTAAACGAAACTGATTTTACAAATCAATGATACTTGTTTGACAATTCGAACATTTACATTATTTCCTGACACATTTTCATTTGGAGAATAAAACATAACTTTTGATTGCAAAATCTACTAATCCTTTTCTATCATTTAATTAGAAATCTTTCAATTATTTTTTAATTTTTCCATCAGTATTGTATGTTTTTGATTAAATATTTAAAATTTATTAATTATAACGGTTATCATGTCTTTTAAATACCCAACTTTTTAAATGACTGAAAAAAATTTTCTACAAATTTTAGTGTCACAAAAGTGGTCGCTAATGAACTTTGTAATTAACTCTTAATTTCTAAACTGAAACTTTAATTACGTATTAATTATCATTCTTCATTATTAGTCTTCTTATATCTTTTAATTTTTTTTTAAATTATCAATTGATAACAATGTACTATGGTATAATTTTAGTAAGTAATCTTTTCAATTTTCCAAAATTCTAGTCAAATTAGAAAATTTTTAAAATATAGATAAAGATTTAATTCTCAATAGTGAAATAGCAAAGAAGCAAAACTCTTTTCATTAAAAAGTTTCTAGAAATTTTGTCACACTTTGGGTTCTATCTTTTAAATATTAAGAAGAAAGAGTTTTAATGAATCTGCAGAAAGAATGATGGTGCTCTCAAGATAACGAGATATCTGCTTTTGTATTTCTCTTAAAAAATATCATTTTACAAAATTTTTTTTTTTTGAACAAAGAAAATAAAACTTAATTTTGAAATCGAGAACATGAATTTTTATTAATTCAACATTTTGAAATGTGTTTTTTAAATTAGGAAACAAATATTTTCTAAGACAGATTCTTCAATGATAATTTAATTATTCGAAACCATCATCATGTTTTCTTATTGAAATAATAAAATACCTTGAAACAAAATGACAATTGATCTTCTTTAGTCGAATTCAAAAGTTTGAAAAAGAGCTTTCGAGAAGAACAAACAAAAAGTTGAGATTTATTGCCGGAACGGTCACGTAGATTTTTTAGGGACTCTCTTTCTCTCTCTTTCTACGTGCTTAGAGTAAGAAAAGTGGGTATAAGAAAAGTGATTGGGATTCATGTGACTGAAAACAAGACATGGGTGGTCAGTCTCAAGAGTCATTGGACGATTTTTGCTCGCAAAAGTCACTCTTCTTTAGTATATAAAAAATAAAATTTAATTGTAAGGGAAATTAAGATAAATTGTTAATGCAAATTTTAATTTTTGCGCCTTACTTATTTAAAGAATATATATATTTCATACCTATAGATAGTTTGAATGAAATATAATTTAATTTTATAGAAAATAATTATTTTCTAGTCTTGTAATTGCAGTAGTTTCGTGAATATTGATTTTACCGAAGCGTTGGAACGAAACACTGGACTACTCAATTAGAGTATTGACTATATTTGTAAAACAATATAAATTAGATAAAAAGATATTATTTTTTAAATTTAAAAATATTTAAGCAATAATAATAAATAGAAATTTATTTCGGATTTTTATTTTCAAATTGTTATTTTCAAATTGAAATTTTTATTTCCATTAGAGATATATAAAATGTCATTTACCGCATATAACGCAGGCAATATCAATTTCAAAACTAAAAATTTTTTGTTCTTTTGCTTTAGAAAAGTACTGATTTATTTATATTGTGGAAAATTTCTAGAAACTCATACAATACTTTTTTTGGAAAAATACAAAAATTGTGGAGAAACTTTACGATAAGTTCACGTGCGACTTCATCGAGAAATGTATCACCGAGTGCAGAAAGTCTGAGGAAAGAAAAATGACTGTGCTTTGGTGAAACTCGCTCTCTTGGAGAGTTTCCAATGTCTATGGAGGTTAAGAGCAAAGAATAGAAATTTTCCGGGAGAAGGACGATTAACGATCAAACTCGATAGTCGCATTTTTCTCTCCCGCGCGAGATGAAATTTAAAAGAAATGTAGCTGCAAACTCAATTAAAAGTAATTGATAGAAACAGATATATACAATAACTGAATTCCTTTTATTTTAGTCACGTTTCAAAAAATTATTTACTTATTCACTATCCGTGCAGAAATTCGCCAACCTGGCCCTGATCTGGCTGAAATAGGGATAACTGGGGCCTAACCAGGCCCATGTTCGGACCCCGGTTTTAATCGAAAGAGAGCTCTTTCTGTGGTCCCGATTCCCTGTTTCGTGCGAATTTGGAGCTTCCTGACGTGGGCCCTGCCAGGGCCCTTTCAAAAATTTCTGCACGTGTAATTTCTAATCAGTGATAGTGGAAGTGAAACTACTTTTGTGACTACAAAAATGGTCATTTCGTCGAATTTTGTAATTGCAATAGACCGTGTAAAATTTAAAGATTTAATGAATTTGGAAGCTGCGGTTTTTTTTATTACATACTTAAGAGGAACGTTTACGTCTGCAGGATTATCAGCCTCCATTATCAACGTCTCTCTTTGCAATATAGAAAGGGCTTCATGATTCTCATTCGTGTGGTTTCAAAACGACCAAATAATAAAAAGCAATTAGTAATCTATCTCTTCCAAAGAAAATAATAAAAGAATAATATTAAAGAAAAAAAAATCGTAAACTAAAAAAAAATGAGAGCGATTATTATTTTACACAGTGTATAGTTCGCACTATTTCATGAATGATGAATTATTACTACCACTTGAAAAGGAGCTAATAGCTCTGGACGGAATTCTTAAGATATTCAAAGATCCCCTCTATTTGCCTGAAGGAGGAATGGGAATTTTTTTTTTCTCAAAAGAATTTCGATCTGATATGGTGCTTTCACAAAAGAATCTACGACGAGATTTCAAAGAACTTATGAGGCACCGTAATATCATATATATATATATATATATATATATATATATATATATATAAAATGGAGCACACGTTTCGGGGTGAAAGCTAAATTTTCAAGCATGTACCTGAAACATATATAACATGCGCACCTTCTGCCACCTCTTGTAAATTTATCAAATTTCCTTATAAGCTCCATGTATTTTAAATATTTAAACATGCCTGAAATATTTTTCAATTTATGAAAAATTTCATTTTTATTTCATAATTGAAAAATATTGAGAAATTAATATTTATAGTTCAAAAAAGTAATTTAATAATATAAACATATTTTTATAAAAATTCTTTCAATTTATGTTTCAGCATATGCGTCACCGTAGTGGTACTTAACGTTCATTTTCGCTCGCCACAAACTCATAAAATGGCACCATGGGTAAAAAGAGTATTTATTCACATATTGCCCCGGCTATTAGTGATGCGAAGGCCTCAATACAAATTCGATACAAATCGGTAAGAATTAAAAAAAAAAATTCTAAATTGTAAAAAATAAATACATAGTAGCAAATGTTAATACAACCTTAAAATAATCTTCAAAATAAAAAAAAAGAAGCTTTTGATGGTAAATTGAATAGGCACCTTGAATGCATTGTGGGATAGAGAATTTTTTGCGGAAATTGATAAGATTCAGTCTTCTTTCTTTGCACTTTATATATACATATAATCCAAGCTATTCCGACACTATATAGCTTTTTATTATTTGGAAACTCTCCAATCTAGTAGTTCCTTTCAGTTGTAGAAAAAAAAAACGTTCTCAACAACGTGGTTTTATGTCACAAGGCAAGAAACCTACAAGAAGAAAAAAATCTCTTGCGGAGCATATGACCTACTTTTAAAAATACGTACACAGCGGCATTAAAAAAAAAAAACTTAATACTAATGCCACTCTAACCAAGAAGCCTGAAATTTTTAGAATAATTTTTCATTTTTAATTTCCTTTCTTCTTGTTATTAATATACACTGTAAAAAAAATTGGTGGAGTTAAAGGCAACTGGGGAGTAAAATTTTTAGAGTCAACTACAAAATTGAGTTAACAGATTAACTCCAAAAAGCAGGGACTTTTATTGAGTCCGGTGGGAGTTAAAATTTAACTCCTTTTTTATATTAAAAATATTAGTTAAAAAAAGTGTCCCCTGGACTCTATAAAAGTTCCTCAAATTGATGCTAAGGGAATTAATTTTATGCCTATGGAAATAGAAAATATAATAAAAATTTGTTATTTATTGTTCTAATACGCTCGCAAAAGAAATATTATATATATTTTCTAAAGTCACTATTAGATAAGGTTAATAACTAGAACTAGATTATGAATTTAATTAGAAAGTTGTAAAATTTTGCACCAAGTCGGAAAAAGTAATCTGCATTGTTGGATATGATCGCAGCATGATAATAAATTCAATTTTATGTAATTTTGTGAAAAGTTAATTACACGACATCCCCATGCGGCGGCGTAGATTTTAATTTTGCTGCTTCTATTTGCAGTTATTCGTCGGGCCGAGTTCTTATGAGAACCGTGAGAGGAAAGGAAAAGACCTGCTACTATCCTTACCATCCTGGATCTCATGAAGAAAGTGATGAGCATCTTACGCCTGGAAGATTTCACAGTCGTCCTGTCTCAAAAGAAGATTTGTCTTCCTCAAGGTGATGAATCTCCACTTATTGTGATAACTTTTTTTTTTCTTGATCAATTTTATTCACATTTTCAAATCGAGAATACGATTAGGGCAAACATTTTATGTACGTGTGGAAAATTCTACCCCTTTTCATAATTAAAAAATTATGGTTATTTTCGAACTTCGTTTTTAAATTTCATCTTCTAAAAATTTGATACAATTTTTGTTTTGATATTTTTGATGTTCGTGAAAAAGTAATGAAAATTCTTTTACAATTGTTTATAATTATAGCCTTACTGATGGTGCTCGATTTGGAGGAAGTTGTCAGATTCATGGACCTCCTTTGCCACCACTTCCACTGCGTGCAGAATGTGAAGATCTCTCAATTGCTGCAGAACCAGTTGAGGAGTTTAAAAATCCTGTTCTACGAAATGCATCCACATTTTCACATTCCAGATGTCCACCGGAAATTCATAGATCTTGCATTTGTGTTAGATTTATAGCAGAACATACAAAAATGCTAGAGGACTCTACAAAGGTAAATAGTGTACCTATTCAAAAATTTTATTCCAAGCCACCTTGATGAAGAATTGAATGTATTTACGCCTTGATCGATACAAGGTCGTAATATCCTTCAACCCTGATTCTAGGATATTTGATACATTTCTCTAATCAATATTGAATAACCCTTTATACCTTCTGTAAAGAATAACGGTTTAGAATATTTAAACCCTTTGAAATTTGGTAAAAAAAATCTGTTCAAAAAAAGCTTCCAAAAAAAAAAATTCTACAAAACTGGCGGATTCTCAATATGTGCTATAGACGTTCGATCTGATTGTGTAAGTTATGCAGACAACGTAACGAGCTATGGTCAATAACGACCGTAAAATGAAACCCCTTAAGGTATATATTCATGATTAATATTTTGTGGATAGAACCTCATTAAAATCAGTTAAGCTAAATAGTTAATCCAATGTAATATCATTCTCAATATCCTACAATTAACAGATTATAAATCTTAAGTCTGTATAACGTATTTCTATAAAAATTAAAGTATAATTCAAACCTAACGAAATAGAATCAATGTATTTTGATGGCATATCGAATACGCTGCACTGAAGTAGAAAACGATGTTCTGCAGAGCAGTTTACGAGCCTTTGGCTTGTGTTGATCTGAAGTTTAAAAAATTTTATTTATTTGTTCATTGGAACAAAAGGAAAAATTGTTTCACAAATCTATTTGACCTCAATTGATTGATATTGTAATATAATAAATTTTTCCCTTCGTCAAATAATATAACAAACAGTTTAGAAAGTAAATTTTTTTTATTATTCCCATGAGGACAGATAAGAAAAAAATTAGTATTTAATTTCTACAACGTTTATTTTCTCAGGTAAAAGAAGATTGGAAATATGTAGCAATGGTCCTTGACAGGCTATTTCTGTGGATCTTCACATTAGCAGTTTTAGTTGGAACTGCAGGTATCATCTTACAAGCTCCAACTCTCTATGATGATAGAGTTCCTATTGATAAGAAATTTAGCGAATTTGCAACAACAACAGTCGTCAGATGTCCTCCACAGCAATAGTCTGCGCTCGAGCCCTGCACCATAGAATAAGGAATTAAATAAAATAAAAAAAAAAAAAAATGTTAACAAATTTTGATTAATACTGTCCGTTTATTATTTTTATTTAGACTTATTAAAATAATCGGTTGCAGGACTCGCCTAAAATATTAATACTTCGCAATGATAAACTTGATTTAATTTTTTCAAATGATTAAAATTTTGAAAATCATAAACTTAAGAAATGAAACGTTCAGAAGTTTAAGACATTAAAATTTTTCCATAATGACTTTTCTCAAAATATGAATTTATCAAAAGTGAGTCATTAATATTGGAATTACTAAAAATTTTACTACTAAAAAGTCAGTCATTTTTTAACTTAAGGATATTAAAAACTAAACAGTAAAATTAATAATTTATTTACAAAACTAAAATATATTTATTATAATAATAATTAGTAGAAAATTTTCAGTAATTTTTTCATTAGTAACTAACTTTTCATTAATTCAGATTTAAATTGTTCCTTCTAAACACAGCCAATTAAAAACACTCTAAATTGAGATTAGTTACAATTTTATCTTCACAGAATCAATTGAAGCTAATTTGAATTTGTTAAAACTGACTAATTAGAATTCATTCAAAATTCTAATAAATTAGTAAAAAATTTTCACAAATTCAAATTATGAACAATTTAAATTAATCGAAAAGTCAATTAAGACGAATTAGTGACTGATTTTTTGCTTTAAAATTAACATATAATATTTTTAATTAATATTCGCTAATTAAACTATAATTAATTAAAATTATAATTTTTAAACAGGAAGCCAGTCACTGATTAAAATTACAGTAAAAATGTCAACTAATTGAAATTTAAAAAAAAAAAAAGAGATATTCGTCCAGGTGAAAATCAATACTGCGTTAAAATTACATTCACAGGAATTGAAATGTGGTTTTTATACGTTTTTTATGTAAGGCCCTCGAAAAATAGTCACGCGTTTCGTACATATAAAAAAAATGGATCATATTATATGCTTGTCAAATAATTACTATAATATGTAAGGACAATTGTTTGCCTTAGCGGGATCTAGTTTTTAAAGCATCATCAGTCATCACTGTTGAGTAAAGTGGGACTATAAAGTAAGATTTAATATTGTTATTACAATTAAGATTAAATATGAATTTTTCTATAAATGAAATAATAATTATCGTTTTTTACTATACATTGAAAAGCGAGTCCCCTAAAGCGACATGAATTTTTTATATATATCAATTAAAGAAGAAGAAACGAATTTCAAAAATTGATTTTTCAAATTATTTTTATTTTAAAAAATTTTTTCAGTTTTCTATCAATAACGTATTATTTAATACAAGAAAAATTATTTCTATTAATATCAAATTAATTTTTAGATTTATTATTTTTAATTGTCAAATAAATATTTTAACAAATATTTATATGCATAGGTGCCAAAGAAATAATTTATCTAATTTGAATTTTATTTTAATGATTGTTAATAATAATAATTTTTTAAAAATATAAAATAACAGACATTATGTTTTATAAAATAAATTATAAACTGTTTTTAAGACATAAATTCACGAAATATTAAGAATACAATAATATAATTTTATTTAACCTTTCAAAATAAAGTATTCTTTACTGAGCTCATAAAAAATGAATGTCAAAAGTTTAATTTCTGTAATTTCAGAGTATTTACTTACCCCCCCAAAAATATAGTATGTGCTCAAGTAAGTCATAACAAAGAAACGACACTTAACTGCTATAACTTAACAATTAAATACGATTCTATATTCTGTATCATAATAGAACTCAAATAATTTGAGCCACATGTGTAATTAACTCATAAATTGACAAACAAAACTCATCGTCCGAGAGTTCGTTATTACACTTTAAACAATGGAATTACTATATACAAAAAAAAAATTGTCTACAGGGAAAAGTATTTATAAATAACTGAAGAAGAAAAAAAATTTTTATATTCGAACCAATTAAATCCAAAGTACATTACATAAATCACAAACGAATATTTGCTAATATATTCATTCCTTATGCCTGCAATAGTTATAAATTTTTATAATATATTGTCATATAATTATTCAAAATCGAGGAGAAAAATTCTAATTATTTTTTCATTTTTTAGTAAAATTATTTATCATGTGGCTAAATAAATTTTCAGAGTTTTTGTTTACAGAGAAAAGAATTTTTCCACCACAAATAATTATCAATTAAAATTTATTTTATCAATTTTTGAGTCAAAAAAAAAAATAAGAAATTATTGTCATAAATAAATATTTTCTATTGCAAGTGTATTGTATGATTGTATTATAAATATTATAATTATATCTATTTTATTTTCCTAATATCATAGTTTATTAGTTTTCATATTTTTAAGAAAAAATACTACTGTTATTAGTTTCAAAAATTTTTTTTTTCACGTATTGCATTGTACAAAAAAAAATGTATAACGTACGTTTTAATTGTTATAATCCAAATTAAATAGAATTTGAAACATATATTTATAATATAACGTATGTATGTTGTTAAAATATATAATTATTAATTGTATAATGCAGCGGCAATTAATTTTTAACAAATTTATTCTTCTTTTATTAAATATCTTTATATATAAGTTAATATGTAATTAATTATAATGGACCAGGTAAATTTCATGACATAATTTTATATTAAGTTATATGATAATATATTATATAACCACGAATGACATAATAATAATAATATTATACATATTACTACATTATGCAGTATAATATTTAATATATAAATGTATAGTTATATTTATTCTGATTAAAATCAGCAAATGTTAGAATTAAAATATATATATATTAATTTAGAATTTGTGGAAAATGAAATTATTTTCATGATTATTCATTAATTTTCTATATTTAAAAATATTTTAAATGAAAAAGGGAAACAATATTGTATATGTTTGATTATTGTCCATTTTTTACAAAAAAAAAAGAAACTTGATGGTTAAATAGTAAATAGAAAAGAAAAAAATTTTAACAAATGTAAAGTAGAAATAAAATATATTTTACATATTTTTACAGTAGAGTTTCACGATAAGTGTCTCTTTATGTTTCTGAAGTTCTATGATATTTGTAAAAAAAATATTCCTAATCGAAAAAAAATATCAGTGAATTTTTTTTTATTACTTTTTAACTTTGGAAACAAGTCTTATATTCTTAGTGATCATTAAATATTTTTGTTCCATTTATTTCAAAGCAAAAACTCGCCATTATGTAAGAAAAAAAAAAATTGGCCATTTTTCGACGATATATAAATCTTAAAAAGAATTTATAAATTTTTATAGAAAACATGTACAAATTAAAAATCCCGATAAAACATTTTTGTGGTTTTTACACGAAAAAAAAGTGAATTCAATAGTACGTTCTGTATACTTGAGGATGATATACCAATGTATCCTTTAGTTTAAAGAACAGTTCTGTAAAATTCACATATTTTTTCGTGAATCTTCCAATTTGGCAATTTTGAACATATTAAGAAAAAAAAAATAAAATGCATTATAACTCGACTTCCACGCACATTTAAATGTTAGAAAAAAAATACCATAAAAAAGGGTAACTAAACCAGAGAAAGGTTGCCTCACTGCTCAGCACGAGCAATTATTTATTTTGTAACATAAAAAAAAAAAACAAGCGTTTGGGGCTCTAGGATTGTTATAATAACAGATAGTATGATAAGGACAAGTAAAGCATACGAATTCTAAAGCTGATAGTTGTAGCAATTTGAACAAACGTTATATCGTTGTTCGATGCCATAGTTTGTTGTCGATGTCACTGTCAGTCAGCGTTAAAAATTTATTTATTTTTAGTAGTCGCACATATATACAAAACACTTATTGTTGCCTTGTACGATTTGTCGATCACAATTACCAGAAGATCTATAAATTAGATTTCATGGAGGACGCACATGTCCTTAAATAATTAAAATTTATCTTGATTTTTTTTTTATTTCAATTTATTGTTCAATTACACTTTTTGTAATTCTTTTAATATTTATAAATTTTTTTTTCAGTTTAACAAAATCGAGAGTGAAAATTTCTCTTCTTTTATTTTATCTTCAAATCATAAAGATTTTCTGGCATTTGCGATGACAACTGATAGCATGGATCTTATTAATATTATTAGAATTAAGTGTATATGTATAATAAATAAAAAAAAAGGTAAATAATAAATATAACATACCGCTAAGTTAAATTAAAATTCGTTCAAAAAAGAATAATTAAAAAAAAAATTACTTTTACTTTTCTACTTCTGCATTGAGAAAAATGTTTTGCAAAAATTTTGATTGCTTCTTCTGGAACAAAATTTTTGGTACCTCAACCAATATTTAAAAAATTCTATTTTAAATTCACAATTCTGTTCAAATTAATTAGTTTTTTATGTACAAAACTAAATTCAACAAAACTTTTTGTACAGGAGATGCAAGGATACAAGAATACTGGAGATTACGGAACCGAGTTTAGTAAGATTTGGTCATTGCAAATTTTACCGAACTGTTTTGTAATCACCTAGCTGTATCCTCTAATACTAAAAGTAATTTATTTAATTTTTTCCCTGCAATAAAATTATTCTATAAATTATCATAGATTTTTTTTTAAAACTATACTTATAATGCAACTATACCACACATAAATTCTATATATCATAATAAAATATAGAATTATACCGAATTCCTTAACATAATTTAGCTGCTAATTTACTTAAATAGCCCTAGTGAAAAACGCACATTTTTTCTATTGAAATAAAAAATTGTAGAAAAAAAAGACAAAGCGCTTGCAAAATCGTGACGTGTTTAGAAAAAACTAGAAAATAATTATAGTACAAAACTGTAATTGAAATCTTGCAAAGGTAGGGGATCTTTTTTTTTATAAAGTATTCATAAATTCAAACTTTACTGAAAGAATTTTTTAAAGACAAATTATAAAATAATAATATAATTATAAAATTAAAATATCATTTCTGTGCGGAATTCCTCACAGCACCGGATATTTAAGGATATCCTTGGAACATCCTCAAGATATCCACTTTCTTCCGGCAGTTTGGATATCCCTAGGATATCCTGAAGGTGTCCTCAGATATCCTAAGTATATCCTAGGGATATCTAAACTGCCTCAAGTAAATGGATATCCTGAGAATGTCCCAGGAATATCCTTAAATTGGCTATTTTTAAATAGAAAGTATTTTATGGCAATTTAATTCCCTTTTTATTCCAAGATTTCAATCACAAACTTGATAAACACGTTAGTCCCAGGACGTTTTTGCATTGAGAAATTTAATAAAAATTAAAAGAAAAATCGACATTTAGAAACTAGACAATAGTTGTAAATTAGTGATCATATTTGTAAATATTGTAAAAAAAAAAAAAAAAAATGTTGACATAAATCAAGTCATCGAAGTAATAACAAGAAGAAAAGTTTATAACTCAATTGAGTCAAATTTACATTTCTTTGACGAATTTTTTTTTTTTAAATAAATAATTAACTAATTTTTAGTAAATAATTTTATTAATTACAAAATTAATGTGAACAAATAGGTTACAAAACATTTAATTTATTCAAAACAGTTAATAAAATAATTTTTTGTAAAATTTGTCAAAAACAAAAGAAAAGAGAAATGAAAATCTGATTTTTTTTAAATACAATTATGTTCAATAAATATAAGAAAATTTTTTCTGCACAACCAAAGTGACTTTTGATCGATGGGTCTAATGAACGAATTTGTAAAGGTATTTAAACCGGATTGATAACAAAAAAAAAAAGAAAAAAAAAAAAAGATTGTAAGAAAATTTACACACAATTTTAGATATATAGAAAAGCGCTGATATCTATATTAAATGTTAACAATATGAAAAAAAATATGTTATATCAGTGATGAAAAATTACTGATGAATAACAATAGTTGTAGATATATATACGTATATATAAATATATTTATATATATACTTATATATATAAAACTAGAGTACTGAAAACATATTAAACGAGAAGTTAACGATAACTAATTAATATTTAAATAATGGTTATGACCGTTAGATATATTATTATATACGACGTAAAAGATTTGTTAAATATGTATTATTAAAAATCGTTGTTTTAAGAATAAGTGAAACAAAGAACGAGATTCTTGTTGCTTGGTTTTGTAACTATGCTTGAGAAAAGCAATCGAAAAATAAAACTTGTTGTCGTAGAATATTTAGTTTTTTTTAATTATTATTAAAAAAAAAAAACCCTATATTTACTTTATCCATATTCTAAAATTGTTTCTATTTTAATTCTGTGCAAAGAAATTATTGATTGTTTCAGAGAAATTAAATGCAAATAGAATTAATAATAATATTTTTATTTATTCTTTATATAAGAATTTAATTATTATAAAAACTAACACTTTTGACATAGATTAATGTTCAAATCGCTATTCTTCAAGAAATATAAAATTGTTTTTTTAAAGTATAATTTGCGCACGGTGAACAGCGGAAATACTAACCAGAGAAACGATTTCGATCATTACAATTATGTAATAATAATTTTAGTTTGCGATTTTCAATTGAACATTATTTTGCTTGAAAATTTTTTTTCGAAAAAAAAATAATAACAATATGTAACTGTATTTGAAATCAAATTCAAATGTATCGCAAAGAAGTAGAACAGATAAAATCTATTTTGAGAAACTAAGAAAAGCATTTGGATAAATTACATTTAATTTTTTAACAAAGTATAGTATTGAATGTATTAATATATTAATAATAAAATGAATGACAAACTACAACATAGCTAACAACAGTTAATAAAATATATGCAAATATATGTACACATCACTTATTATTTGCGAAAAATCGACGATGACTAATTAACAATTAAGTAACGGTAATATTTATCGTAAATATGCAAAACAAATTTACATGTTTGTTATTTTTTTTTAAAGATGCAACGATCTTTTAATTTTTTTTTTTACAACTTTTATATTAACAATAATAACAGTTAAGTATCTGTCTCTTTTTTTTAAGCCTAAATGAACTTAATTAAAATCACAATAGTTGTAAAAATTACGAATAAATGAATATTACAATTATACTATATGGTATAACTATAGCTTTTTCTTGTACTAACTAGTAAAATCAATGTTTTAATTTAAACAAAGGCAATCAATTGATTTTGTATAATTTTTAAATTTTAATGAATCAATTCTAGTTGGAAAATTCCATTCACTATTTTACAAGAAAAGTAACAGTGTAAATTTTCCAAAAATCAATATTACCGGAATGAATTAATTTAAAAGAATATATGTTTAAATAAATTAAAAAATCATTTTATTTACGCGACTAGAAATAATTTAATCATTTTCTCTATCTCTGGCAATGAATTATTTCGCCATTGTTCCCAAGAACTTGATTCCACTTCAGCAAGAACTACTTCATAACCAACAGCTTTTAAACTTTTGATGTTATTATCCCTAAATTCCTGGAACTGTAAAAATTGTTTATAAATATTTGTAAAAAAAAAATAATAATTTTAAGTCTAATTCCTAACAGCATCCGGATATGCAGGATATCCTATGGATGTCCTATGGATAACCGGAAATTAGGGTATCCATATGATGTCTCAGGATATCCATAGATATCTTGAGGACATCCTAGAGATATCCAAATTGTCCTTAGGATATTCTGAAATATCCATTGCTGTTAGTGATATTAATTATATTTTATTTACCATTACTAAATCCTGCTTTGTCATTAAGGATTTCGACATTGCAAGAATAAATTCCTTCATCATAAAATAGGACTTTTGGTACCTAGTAAATTAATTAATATTATTAAAAAGAATAAAAATAGAAATAAAAGAAAATCAATATATATTTTCAAAATTGAGACAAGTCGCACATGTAACGTAGTCATTGAAATTCTGTCTCAATTTTTATTGTAAGATTTTTTTTTTTTATACCTATTTGTTATTTCCGGCCAACTTCTTTCTATAAATCTCTGAACAGCAAAAGCTGCTTCCGGATTTCGAGAGAAAGAGTGCAGAATAAGACGACTTTCCTCTTCACTGAACAAATTTTCCTCTAGTGTCATTTTCAAAATTCTGTAATAATTATAAAAAGTGGAATAATATCCTCAAAAATATCAGATAACCCCTTCAAAATTTTATTATAAATTATTTAAATAAGTATTAAATAGGCTAAATAAAAATTATAATTAATAGTAAAAATTTATAAGATCTTTGCAAAAATATTAAATATGCAAAAGAAAATTGTAAAATTGTATTTATCGATACATTGAATATTTATATAAAAAGAAGAATTATAAATAACTGTAGTGAAGAGATAAAAATTTAAATAAAATCTATTATTTAATGTAATATTTTATTATCATGATAGGAGTTTGAAATAATAAAGATAATTGATTCTGAAGCAAAGAGAGAGAGAGAGAGTCAACTTCAATATTTAATTTGAATGCTCACTTTTGCAAAATCCAGGGCACTTGAAAGCACGCGAGTGAGGACAGAAGTCGATTCTTTTCCTCTTTGTCTGTCGCGTTTATTGCTTTTTGCAAGAAGTATTGCCAATCATCCTCTCCACCAACTCTTGCGACTGTACAGTAAAATATCTCACGAGTATGCAATGGAAGACTGAAAATTCAATAAAATATATTCCAATATTTTTAAAATATATCTTTTACCGATCAAAAGAATTTATTTCTGAATAAAAAAAAAAAAAATGGTAAATGTGTCACGATCGGTAGAATATTGTAAAATCTACGAATTAAAAATTTTCAATATTCCATTAAAATTCCTTTCAAAAGGAAAATCAAAATTTCTTTTACAGATAGTGGCATAAACCATTTAAAAATTGAATAATATGACAATAAAAAAAATATTAACCTTTGGAATCCCGAAGTTTTTGTTATTGAAAATAATTTTCTTGCCCAGTCAATACATTGTGGATGCTCGAAATTACAAGCTAGATTTTTAATAACTACTGCTAATTGTGAACCTTCATCATTTGTCAATTCTGTTTCATTATAAATCACTGACAAAAATTGACGTGTAAAAATCTGAAAAAAAACATTGAGATAACAATAGAGATGTATATAATAAGTAAAATATGAATATTTTATAATTTAAATATAGATTTGAACATATATCTTTGCAACATTTTTATCGTTTTTTTTACCTGAAAATCTGAATAGATGTCAGTGTCATAGAGAGCGAATTTTAATTTTAATAAGTGACTCGTAAGTGCTGCCCATGGTGCATAATGTTTTTCTTTTGTTCTCATATAATTGATAAGTTTAAATGCCATTTTATAAGATGTAAGACCACCTTGAGCGAGACTAAGCACGTCATCGATAAGAGACGCTCTTGTCGCCGGAGGAAACTGTTCGGGTTTTTCATTAAGAGCCTCAGCAAGAGACATCCAATTATTAATATCATAATTCACTCGATAATATCCTAAAAAAAAAATCATAATTTTCAATGCAAAATTATTTATTCTATTTATTAATTAATAATAATAATAAATATTAATTAACCTTCTCCGTTAATATTGAATACAATCCAATTATCAACAATAATATTTTTTAATGAAATTTCATTTTTTGTCATCAAATGTTTAGTAGGTGATAACCAGTCATCACTTGAATTAGTGAAAGTTAGTGGAATATACCACAATTTTTCACTTTGTTCTGATATATTATCAAATGTGAACCATGCCTATAATATAAAAAAATTAATCATCTTTTTTGAACAATAAATTGTCATCATTATCATATATATTGTTCAATCAATATTGTACATTAATTATTTTAAACAATATATTACAAATTTGTTTATATAATATTTTTTTTGTTGTCAAAAAAATAAATTTTTTTTTATATTTCATTGATTTTACATGAATTTTCATTTTACGTGAATTCAATAAAATGTCAATTAACAGTACTCCGCCTGAATAAGCATACAAGAGATGCAAATTTAAACAACAAGCTATATGTAAATCAGTGTGCGCCGTTTCATTAGAAAATACGTAAAAGGAGCCTTTTTCTATCTCTTCTCTGAATTGTATAATTACAGTAACTGGATAATAGACCGGTAATAGAAAACTTCTTTGTACATTTAAAATTACATTTGTAAACGAGTTTGTAAAATTACTTTGTCACTGAATACAATATATACCCATCGTTTGTTCAAAAAAAAAAGTTAAAAATTGTTAAACTAATAAAATTTGCAAGAAACTAGTTCAATTTAATAAAAAAAAACAATGCCTTATAACATAGGGATATTCAGGATATCCTTGGGACGTTCTAGAGGTATCTTTTGTCCTTTGGCGGTTCGGATATCCTAGGGACATCCATGGATAATCATAAGATATCCTTGGGACGTCCTAGGGATATTTTTTTGTCTTTTGGCGGTTCGGATATCCTAGGGACATCCATGGATAATCATAAGATATCCTTGGGATGTCCTAGGGATATTTTTTGGAGTTTTGGATATCCTAGGGACATCTAAGAATAATCATAGGATATCCCTGGGACATCCTAGGGATATATTTTAATTTTTGAGTGTTTGGATATCCCAAGGACATCCATGGATAACCATATGATATCCCTGATATATTCTGAATATCCTTGTATTATGAGGGAACCAACCTGATTAACAATAATGGTTCCAGTTTCATTATCCCTATTAACAGAAACCACAGGATATCCATTTTGATAGATCCATGTATTCATAATATCAATAAGATTCAAATTTTCCGTTTGATTTTCTGTGTCTTCAGACATTGCCTCCCAAAATGACTTTAAATTTCCATTTCCATAGATCCTTTAATAAATGACTGTCGTTTAATTATTATTATTTTTATTTTTTAAAAAAAATATTTTCTACTATTTTTCAACTCTATTAATATTTACAGTATTTAATTACAATTTTATAAGAAAACCATAATAATAATAATTGTTGTAATGAATGTTTCAAAATACCCACCACCTGCTAGCAAGTTTCTGGTATCCGCTCCTAAAGGCGGTATCGTTTAATAATCCATGCAACATGCGAATGAGACATGCACCTACGATCATTTTTAACATTCATATTTTACATTTATGCACGATTAAAAATCAAAAATATTAAAATAATAGAGAAATTTTAAATAATTCAAAATGTTCGCAATTTTTTTGGTCGAGCAAAAAAAAATAGTTTTCCTACTCAAAGAGGTAATGGCAAAACTTTGAATTATGTAAAATATAATAAAAATAATAAAAAATAATAATTTTTTTAATTAAAAATTTCTATTTGTAAAATAAAAATATATTCTAATATTAAATAGACTTGTTTATTAATTAAAGAACTACATTTTTCGAACTCCTATTTAAAGAAAATTTATATATACATTATTATAGAATTAGTTTACCCTTGCTGTAATGTTGATTATCAAAATTATCCAAACGGGAAGCATGTACCTTACGTTGAAGAGACCTTGAAACACTATAAGCATCACGATCCATCATTTTCCATTGAACATCTGATTCAAATGAACCGGATGTGTCGAATGCCGGATCTATCTAAAAGAGGAAGCTCGTAAAAATATATATCTATTAACTGTAAAAGAACAACTTTTATATTACCCAAATGTATCTTTTTTCATTGAATCAAATTCATCAAAAAAAAAAAAAAAAAAACCAGGCAAAAATTAATAACACAAAATTTATTTCACTAAATATTTTTCGACCTAATTCTTTCAATAAATATTCTAAATTATTTAAAAATATATTCTGGATTATTAGAAAATTTGTATAACTTTAAAATAAAAACTATGTATTAAAACTGAAAATTGAATGATCACTTGCTTCTTTAAGAAATGCGTGACTAAAATAGATGAGTGATCCTTCCAGTAGCCAAGTATCTGTCCAGTTTTGAGTATTGATCACACCGCCTAACCACTGTCTACCAACTTGATGAATCAAATTTTTCACGGCTTGAATTTTTAACACCATAGGTGATGACTCTTCCTGAAGGTAAAAGAGTTGCTCTCTAAAAGCATCATAACATATTATGTGACTTTTTGTATAAAAGTGAAAAAACATGTTCCTCAAATTTTTTTTTTTATTTTTCATTTTTTTTTAACTGTATGGATATATGAAATATAGCTTTTGCATGTAAACAAGTTGAACTGGAAAATTTTAAACCCAGAAGGACTCACTTAATTGATATCAATCCCGGACTTCCTGTTCCATCTAGCGTCATAGGGTGACCAATCAAGTCCATTTTCTTCATAGGATAATTGATGGAGAACAGATTGACAAATTTATCCAATACGACATCAATTTTATCTGACAAATATGTAATTTGAGAGCTTTTTGATGCATCACCCCAAAATGTTATCGTTGATGAATTATCTCCATCGCCGTAATTTGTTTTTACAATTGTTTGAATATTACCTTCAATGAAGGCTAAATTGTGAGGTGAAATTAATGGAGTTTCTTCAAAAATATCAATAACTTGTCCATTGGAACTATAATAAAATTTATTATATTTTCACTATACAAAATTTTAAAATGTTTAATTTTATTTGTAAATTTTCTGAATTGTTTTAACGTTCTGTTATTTTTTTTTTTTTATTGAAGCGAACTATTCAATTTAAACGAACAAAGTATATCGAAGCAATTTTTTTGCTTAAAGTGAAGATTACTTACGAGTCATTCGAGATTTTGAGTGGCATATTTGAGAGAACTCTCATTTCTTTGGGACGTGACACAGATAGAGAGAAACGAGCCTTAAATTTCATGTCATCAAAAACAGGAAAAAGTCGACGTGCGTTGATAGGTTTCAATTGAGTTGCCATTAACCATCTTGAAAATTGATAAAAAATTTTGCATTTCATTTGCTCTATATTATTTAAATTTATCAAAAGTATAAATAAGTTGAAAATTAAATTTTTAATTTTTTAATAACGGAATTTTATTAAAAAAAATTGAAAATTCTAATTGAAAAATAAAGAAATAAAAAAACTAATTTTTCAGCATATATATATATGAGATGAGAACCGCTTTTTCAAGTATTTTCTTTATCTTTTTCTTATTTTGCCACCCTTCGTTAAGTTAACCGTACAAAGCTTCTTTAAAGATCGATAACGTTACTACCAGAAAGAACGTTTCTGGATTATTAAGTACTTCATCGTTAAGAAAAGGTATACCGTAATAGAAAAGAAAGACTCCGAACATTTAAACGATTTAATGGTATTATTACGCTTTCGATGCTATCAATATAAACCTATAAAGTGTTGCTGTTAATTCAAGAGCTTTAAAAAATATTATACTAGATCGAATAACAATTTTCAAACACTTTTTAAATCATTTTCAAAATATTTTTCATAAAACAAATGAATTGTATTCAAATGAAACGATAGAAATTAAATTTTTTTTTAATCAAGAACATATTCTTAATAATAAATTTTAAATAATTTTTAAAAATCCTTTTTTAAAATTAATTTCTCACCTTCTTTGATCATCACCTGTAAAATTAGTTTCAAAAAGACCACTATCATTGAAGAGAACTTCATATTCAATTTCCAAAGAATAATTGCCTGGTTCAATAGGTGTTAGTGAATGAATAACATGAACCTTACTCGCTTCGTTGATTTCGTAATTACCAATACCAATGTCCTTCAATGTTTCATGATTTAGATCAACATTTTTGTCCCTATTGTGATTATCTTTTTCATTTAGAAGTGTTTTTTCAGTTTCATTTAATTGCAATAAATTATCATCACTAGTTGTACTATCATAATCTAAAGAAGTAGCTTCTTCTTCTAAAAAAAATTTTTAAAAAAGTATTCTATTATAATTTAATTTGTAAAATATTAATAAAAAAACAAATTTTACAAATAATGTTGAATAAAAAAATTTTGTAAAAAATAAATTAAATTTTTAAAAAACGAAACTATTGTATTAGTAATAAAACTGTGTAAAAATCATTGCAAAACTATAATTTATGACTAAACATTTTTTTCTATATAAGTGTATAAGATACACGACTAGTAATTAAACTTTCTTACTATCTGTATAACCAATAGTTATAGTGTCATCCACCGAGGAAATAGTGACTTCTTCACTCAAAGTAGTAATTTGATGATTATTTTCCTCCTCTAGTTCTCGTTTCTTTTCATTCTTAGAATGCGTTACTCTCGTCAATCGATAGCTTAATGGATTTATATTTTGTGCATTTAAAATCAATTTATCCAAATTTTTTCCACTATTTTGTCGAAATTCAATGACAATATGACCCTTAATTTTGATAACTGTATTCATGAGAAAAATTGGTGTCAAAATAATTTGATACCTCGTAGGATAAATGAGACCAGAAAGTATAAATTTGCTATCTGAGATATTATTTTCTTCACTTTCTTCAAGAGCCAATAAATCCAATGGATCATGAACCTATTGAAAATTATTTTAATTCAAAAAGATTTAATTATGATTTCATATCAGCCTAAACAGCATCCGGATATTTTGGATAACAAAAGGATGTCTTAGGGATAACCAGAAAGTAGGATATATATAGGATATCTCAAGGATATCCATAGATATCTTGAGGATATCTTAGAGATATCCATATTTCCGGTTACGAATAGGATATTCTGAAATATCCGTTGCTGTTAGGGTAATTTTAGAATAATTAAGGAACAAATCACGTGATCCAACAGTCACATGTCCTTAATGTATTCAAAAAAAAGTAATGCTTACTTTCGGTTTTGGCGAAAAAGCAAAACGATGGCCTACAAATCCTGCGCCACTTATACAAACAATGAAAAGAAAAAAACAAATGGCAAATTTCTTGTTTGACACAAAACAACCACCCTCTCTATTATATTTTATATTATCAACAGAACATCCCGTTCGATTGTTTGTAATCTCCAATTGTGCCATATGAGAAGCTAAAAGATAAAATATAATAATGTGAAGAAAAAAGAATTTCATAAATTATTGTTATATTGTATATACTTTTATCATTGAAACTATAAAAAAAAAAATTTTTTTAGTGAAATTTTTCAAAAATAGAAATTATTTTAAATGGTCCAGGTAAAATTGAAAGTAATTTACAGTCTGAACAATCACACTATTTATCACTATATGTAACCTCAAGGTTCTTTTTGCACGAGTCAGCCACGTATTAACATTCGCATAATCGTTTATTCTGACGATAACATTCGACTTGGTGTACAAACCAAGTAATAAAGCACGTGCGAAGTACTAAGACTAAGAATTTTCAATGATAACAAAATTTTCACTTTGTTAGTTATTCATTTAATTTGGAATTTATTCATTGTTTCATGATAACGCACGCGTAATAAATTATGAAAATACCGCGAGACTTGATTAATTTAAATAACGTAATTCCACTTTATAAAATGATACTTTACTTTTGTCAAAACAATTATTATTATTATTATTATTAATCAATGCATTAAATTTAATTAATTGCGTATTAAAAAAAACTTGCACATTTTATAAAATTAATGAAATTAATTAATTTGAATTATAAGTTTAGAAGTTCAATAAAAAATTAATTTTAATTATAAAATACATTTCATGAATGACTGATTTAATGACATTATTTTTAGAAATACTTAATGTTCTACTTTTTATTTAAGAATAGAAGGGAATTTGTCGTTAATTATTAATTTTGTTACTTTCGCACTATGAAAAAACAGTTATAGCTAATTTACGAAGACAATATCGTTTTTAATAAAAAAAAAAATACTAAGATTTACATTAAAGAAAAGACAATGATATTTCGAATATTAAAACATAAGATAGTATTTTCACAATAATTAAAAAAACAATACAATTTTTAAGGATTAAAAAAGAAGACAATTTTATAGTTAAATAAAAAAAATTATATTATTATGGTTTTAGGAAAGCAAAATCTACACAATTATGGGTAATTAAGTTTGGAATCTGTATAAAATTTATATTTGGTCGAAAATATTACAGTTCAATTTAGAAATATCTATTTTTACCTAATTCGATTTTGATATTTAAAAAGGTATAATAATTTCGGATAAAATGATTTTTAGTTCAAATAATTGATGTTCTAGTGTACAATTAAAAAAAATAAAATCCAGAGATTTTAGCTCTATAAAAAAATGGGTTTTGTATATATACATTATATACCAATATATTCTTGTTTTTCATTTAAAAAGGAAACCGTAAATATTTTTATTTTTTAAAACATAATTTGTTTTGCATAAGAGTTCCGCATTTTATAATTGGAACAAGAGGCAGTTGCTTGTTAAATGTGAGTCAATAAATGCGTTTAATTGCATAAACATTTCGCAGAATGATGAAACATATATCTTTACGAATTCACACCCAGAAAAATAAATTGTATTCAATTAAAAGTTTTTTGATTCAATACAATTCACTATATTAGGAAGAATTTTTATTAAAATTCAAAATTTTTTTTCAAGAAATAATTATTTTATTTAGAATTTTTTTATAATTAAATAGAAATCATATTTCAATTAAATTATAAATTTACCAAAAACAAAATATGAAATAATTTTAATAAATAATAATTTAAAATTTTCAAGAAGTGAAACAATTTTTTTTTCCAATTGCAATATTTTAAAGTCTTGAAATTTTTATGAATGGGTGTTACATAGTTAATAGAGTTCATGACATTGAAAAATTAAACAACGACTCACAGTTCCGTCGACCTTCTTCGACAAAGGTGAAGATCGAACCTCTTCTCATTTTTGAGAAGTTAATTATCCGAGACTGACAGAAAAGTTGATTTTACTCGCATTAAAACACACACAAACACAGAAAATTGGAAAAAATATTTTTTTTTTTTTGTGCACTAATAGAAGATATTGTTAAAACCGTAGCGATGTTCTGAACAGGTAGAGTGCAATTAGTACTTCCAACAGAGCCCGGTATATGCGGATGCTGATCGCCGGTCGAGGATATCCCCACTTCTAAAACGACCGGCAGTCTTGATTCAATTGTCGTTTTCATAATGTACGTGAGCACATCCCATTCTTTTTGCTATGCATTGTTCTTCCTGAACACTTACACTTTTCATGTTATCTTCATTCTTTTAAACTTTTATCAAAAAAAAAAAAAAAAAAAAAAAAAAAATTTTACATGAGAATAAGCATCGATTTTTTAATCAACAGCGGTCACATGATTTTAGTAATATTAAAATAATTTAGTTTTAATTTAAAGAAATAATGACAATTGAAGATTTTTCGAAATGCATATTATTTATTAATTTTACAGAGTATTTTTCAAAATAAAAATATTGCCATGAAAAGTTGAGTCAATATTACTGCACGCTATAACGGTTTTCTTTGGAAGTTTGATCTAGAGAAAAATTTATCCGTTACATAACAATGATTACGGATTGTAAATAGTTATCCGACCCCTTTTTTTAAGCATGCATGACAACCGGAAATTTTCATATTAAGTGACTATCAAAACAAATCGGTTTCTTTTTGGTGATATAAATGTTTAACCGCTATAGTTCCAACCCCACGAGTCTCAATGTCTGTGCAACCTTCAGACTCATTGAAATTAAATGCTAAATCATGTCGAGTGAACTGGGTCAGTGGCATAAAATATGTATTCATTCAACAACATATATACGAAATTTAAAATGGTGGAACTTGGGTTCGGTTGAATCGGGGACTTATTTTTAAGCGAATATCTGATGATTTAAAAACAAAATCATTTTGGATCATTCTAAATTATGAACAACAGATATTTCATAATCATCAACCAGAAAAACAACCTGGATGAAGAATTTAAAGCAAATTTGGTGATTTAAAAATAGTTTGCAAACAGTTTCTGAAACACGAATTGGCTTTTGTAATCTAAAAAAAAAACCCGTACCAAGCTTTATGTACCTGAATCTGCTAAATTTTTAAACAACTATATTGGAGCCGATATTTTATATTTTTAAAATCCAACTTTATAAATTCAGAATAAGAGATTTCGAAATTCGCTAGGCTAAAATTTTAAATAAAAACCAATCTTTTTAAAAGGTTAATAAATAAGAAACGAACTAATAAATTAATACCTATCATATTTCTACTTTGTATTTTAATGATTAAATTGCTCTAAAAATGCACCCACTTAAAATTATATTGATCGAAAAATAAGATGAAATAAAAGCGAGAAATTGTAACTATGGCATCGAAACAATTTAAATGTAGGTATACCACTAGTGTAATCACAGAAAAATAGATACTACATTCAATCACTGACATAATAATTATTGTCAAATAAATATCCTCCCTCTTTGAATTTTGTTATATACTTTTTGTTATTCTACATTTGCCAATGGAGCAAAGAAATTAAGATATACCTATGAACGTCAGAGGATAATTTCTTTTTACCACTGGTACCGTTACTGGTACCATTAGTTACTAGCACCTATCATTGACACTCCTGGATTGGCCATTGACGTGGTTGGCTTTTATCTCGCACGTACTTCCGTTAGCCATCGCGATTAGTCCCCTTTTGTCATATATATGTGTGACATATGCAGTCCGAAATTGAATAATGGAGGACCCATTGCTTCATGCTATCGCAATACTTCTAAGTGGGTAAGCGTTTCAAACCCATGATTTGTCTCTCATTGAGCGGATGTCACGTGGCAAATTATTTTTTTTTTCTCGACCCTTGATATTTCATTTGAGCTACGAATCCAGGAAGAAGAAGTTAAAGCCTCCAGTTCGCGGACAACTACGTTCAACCGCGGCCGATTTTTTTTTTATTTTTGCACTCAGTGAAGAATTTTATATTTCATTATTTATTAGGTGAGATATTGTTTTTTTTTTTAAAAAAAACTCGTGATTGAAGTCAAGGACACACATATAGTGCTTTTCTTATTCCTCCCTTCAATTTTTAAGATCTATTCTCAAAAAATAAATTTTCTATTCAAATTATAAATTCTTCACATTTTTTTCAAATCATTTTATCCATGTCTTTAAATTACAATTGAGTTAAAAAATTTTTTTTTTTTTGAAATTTGCCCTGGAAAAATCAATTTCTGATTAAGTTTCTCACTCCTTGGACAATGTTTTGAAAATATAAATTCGAATTTTATTTTAGGTAACAAACAAAGTAATAATAATGGGGCGGACAGCCTTTATTCTGTCTATTTTTTTCTTCTTTGCTGTAAGCAATGCTTTGTACCAGGTAAGTACTAAATTTTTTTTTCATTGTTTTGAAAGAGAAATTAAAATTTTTATAATAAAATTTGTTTAAAATAAATAATACCAACAACAGTTGGAATTTAATTGTAATTTAAAATTAAAGCAGGAGAGGTACAGATCGAAACGAAGTGTTGATATTTACGATATAGAAGAACCAGTGGAAAATAAACTTCCTCGTGAGACAAAACCACTTCACTATCAAATAGAAATTCAACCTTTTATCAATGAAACAAAATTCAAGGGTAGGGTACGAATTAACGTTACGTGGATTAGACCAACGGAGAAAATTGTTCTTAATGTTGGCCGTGATCTTGAAATTGTACACGCCAATGTTAAATTTACAAAATTCAGTAACGCCTATTCAACTCCGTAAGATTTTATTCTTTATTACATTTATTTATATTTAAATTTCATGTTAAAAATCCTTAAAAATGATTCTTAAACTAGTTGGTTGAGATTTAAAATTTTCTTTTTAAAGAGAGGAGCTTTCAACAGTATCCGTAGTGCAAATGGGTAAAGGACCCAAAATTTCATGGTACACAATTAACTTCAATGACACTTTAATGGCAGGAGCAAATTGTGAAATAGATATTACTTACTATGGCAATATGTCAACAACTAATACTGCAGGTCTTTTCAGAAATGACTACATTGACGGTGATGGAAAAAGCCAGTAAGATAATTTATTTTAATATTTTAATTTTATCCCTAACAGCAACGGATATTTCAGAATATCCTATCCGTATCTGGAAATTTGGATATCTCCAGGATGTCCTCAAGATATCTATGTCTATGAGACATCCTATAGGTATCCTACTTTTCGGTTATTCCTAGGACATCCGTATGATATCTTGAATATCCGAATGCTGTTAGAGATTAACCGAGATTGGTAACCAATTATAATTGCAAGAAAAAAAATCTTATTTTCAAATGATTTCATTAAACGAGATAAAATTTTCAGCACATTCTTAGCAACATATATGAAACGAAATAATGCCCGAAAAGTATATCCGTCCTTTGATGGATTTACATTTAAAGCAACCTATCAACTTAGTTTAATTTATCCAAAAAATATGACAGCTTTATCCAATATGCCTGTAGTAAGAGAAACTGACGTGTAAGTAATTTGAATAATAATTATATATTAAATTAGTGACTTTCGAGCAATAATTACAAAAACAAATTATTATTTGAAGACCCGGAGAACCAAATTTAACATGCAGACAATTTGCACAATCACCAGAAATGCAAACTAATCAGCTGGCATTTGTTATATTTGATTTTGAAAGTATAACTCCCACGAATAGTGTGGATCAAATATCTAAAGATAAATTTGAAATTCGTGTTTGGGGAAGAAAAGGCTATGTGGAATCATTAAAACAAGTTCCAGATAAAATTGTCAGAATTGTCAACTATTTGCAAACCTATTTTAACAGTACAACAGGTTTGACAAAACTAGATGTGGTTGCAATGCCCAAATATGATGCTGCAAAAGCGTCAGATAATTGGGGATTAATGTTTTTCAAGTGTGTATTTATTATTTATTACTGATGAAATTTGAATATCAACTAAAGACTAAAATTACAAATTTTACAGAGAAAGTGACATAAGTAGTCCATTAATATGGAACACGGCTTATGAAATAATACATCAATGGATAGGACAATCCACAACACCTGTTCGTTCAACTGATGCATTAATGGGCAAAGCTTTTAGTTCCTTTTTGGCATCAATGACAACAATGGATGTAAGAGAAATGAATAGAAATTATGAAAAAATAAATTTTTTTTTTAAATGTTACAATGATAATGATTCTAAAATATTTTGCCATCAGCTTAATCCAGATGAATTGGAAGGAAAGTGGCCAATGACCGTTTTATACTCTCTATATTACGGATATGGTAAAAGTGTTCGTAGCAATGGATTTGGCATTATCAAAGACTCAAGATGTGCCAAATGTATGTATTTATCACTCTTCTCTAGAGTCTATTTATAATTTTTTAAAGTTGAACTTTCTTAGGCAAATATACTTTCATGAATCAAAAATATTTAATATTTTGTTTGCAGACGAATTATTATTCCGAATGTTTAATTACACTCTTGGAATGGAAAATTTCAGGGCTGGTATAAGAAGTTTCATTGAAAAGTAAGGATTTAATAAAAAAAAAATTATTAAAAACTATCTTTCATTACTTATTTAATAAAATAAAATTGTATTAATAAAAATAGTAATTTCATGAAAAAAAAATACCAATTAGCCTTTAATAAATGTATTTTTCATTGTTAGTATACCAACAATGAATCATCATATAGGACCAAGGACTTATTTCTACTCAGACTTTTATAAGGCAATGAATGAAGTGGCAAATAGAACTGGTTATCTTCCGGCGGGTACAACCCTAAGCAAAGTTGCAGACCCTTGGATTGATCAGGACAGATTGCCACTTGTCACGGTCAAACGTGATTACGACACCGGAACTATCAACATCACGCAAGTAAATCGCAAGACATTTCTTCACCGACCATTATTGTTTTACTCACACATTCATTTCTCACGTTTTGATTTTCACATTGATATCAAGAGTAACTCGTGATTTTTAATAAAAATAAATCGTATGCTTAGTTTGTAATTCATTAAAAAACACATAGCAAGTCAAAAAAAAAAAATGTATTAATGAAAACTTTATTTTTACCACTGCTATTTTATTTAGTTATTTTATATTTATAATAAATATTAATTCAAATATGTGAACAAATATTAAATAGATGAAAATAAATATTTTTAGAAACGTTATCTCAGAGAGGGTCCTTCAAAATATTCAAATTATGAAAATGGATTAACATGGTACATTCCATTAGTTATGATTTCTCAAGAGCGATTAAATTTAAGTAATACTAAACCTACAGTGTGGCTGCTTTCGGATGATGCAATAAAACGCAATAAGAAAGGAGTAAATGTCACTATGAATGATTTCGTTTCCTCAAACAGTTTTATCATTGTTAATCCAGAAGAAATTGGTAAGGGAATAACGATAAGTTATATTATTCGTACATTATAAAGAGGATTTTCCCTCACAGCACCGGATATTTAAGGATGTCTCTGGGATATCCTATGGATATCCATTTGCTTCCGGCGGTTTGGCTAACCAGATAATATCCTAGGACATCTCCAGGATATCCTAAGGATGTCCAAACAGCTGGAATTAAATACATATTCCTAGGATGTCCCAAGGATATCCTTAAATATCCGGTGATGTGAGGGAAAATCCTCTTTATATTCATTTTATAGAATTGGATTAAATTTCCAATTAGATGTCATAATTATTATTCTAGAAATTTGATAATGAGGAATATTTAATTCTGCTTTACTATAGGTCCTTTCCCAGTAAATTATGATTCTCTAAATTGGAGAAGATTATCTGAATTTCTCCAAGGACCTGATCGTGAAAGAATTCCACCCTTAACCAGAGCAAAATTGTTCCATGATTCTTGGAATCTTGCATATGCCAATGAACTATGTTTCGATATTGCATTGAATATGACTTTGTTCTTAAAAAATGAAAGAAATCATGTTGTTTGGGAGCCTGTTTTTACCATGATCGATCATATTGGACGAAGAATTCAAGGATCTGATATTTATGTCAAATTTCAGGTAATCTTAACAGCATCCGGATATTTAGAATCTCCTATGGATATTCTGTCTGAAGAAATTAGGATTTTTGCAGGGTATATCAGGGATATCCTAATTTCCCTAGACCAAATAATATCCCTAGGACTAATAACTATTGATTGAAAATATTTTAGAATATTATCCTTTACAGGCGTATATTCGCAGCTTATTGAAACCTCTATACACTGAATTAAGTGAAAGTGAACAAGTTAGTGATCCTTCATGGAAAACGCATATGAGAGGCTTATCAAAAATCTTTCTATGTCGTGCTGGTTATGAGCCTTGCATTTTGGAAGCAAGAAAACAATTCAAAAAATGGCTCACTGATGAGGAACCAGACAAAGGAAATCCGTTAGTATATTTTGTTTGTTTTTTACTGACAATTTTCAATATACTCTAACAGCAACAAAACATTTCAGAATATCCTATGGACGTCCTATCCGTATTCGGAAATATGGATATCTCTAGGATATTCTCAGAATATCTATGGTTATCCCTGAGACATCCTATGAATATCCTATGGACGTCCTATCCGTATTCGGAAATTTGGATATCTCTAGGATATTCTCAGAATATCTATGGTTATCCCTGAGACATCCTATGAATATCCTATGGACGTCCTATCCGTATTCGGAAATTTGGATATCTCTAGGATATTCTCAGAATATCTATGGTTATCCCTGAGACATCCTATGAATATCCTATGGACGTCCTATCCGTATTCGGAAATTTGGATATCTCTAGGATATTCTCAGAATATCTATGGTTATCCCTGAGACATCCTATGAATATCCTATGGACGTCCTATCCGTATTCGGAAATTTGGATATCTCTAGGATATTCTCAGAATATCTATGGTTATCCCTGAGACATCCTATGAATATCCTATGGACGTCCTATCCGTATTCGGAAATTTGGATATCTCTAGGATATTCTCAGAATATCTATGGTTATCCCTGAGACATCCTATGAATATCCTATGGACGTCCTATCCGTATTCGGAAATTTGGATATCTCTAGGATATTCTCAGAATATCTATGGTTATCCCTGAGACATCCTATGAATATCCTATGGACGTCCTATCCGTATTCGGAAATTTGGATATCTCTAGGATATTCTCAGAATATCTATGGTTATCCCTGAGATATCCTATGAATATCCTACTTTCCGGTTATCTCTAGGACATCCGTAGGATATCCTGAATATCCGGATGCTGTTATGGTATATAAGTGGATAAAAAATCTCATAAAAAAACATGTCAAAAAATGCATTTAATAACAAAAAACGTTATTAATCTTTTTTCAGTGTTGCAAATGAATTCCTTTGTCCGGTATTTAAATGGGGTACAACAGAAGAATGGGAATTTGGACTTCAGCGTGTCATTAATTTCCCCCAGAACAATGAAAGAAAACAAAGCGAAAGAACTTATCTTTTGAAAACCCTAGCAGGATGTCCCAAAGATTGTTATAAAATAAGAAGGTACGTTTTTAGAATCGCTATTTACAAATCTGATATATTTTCCAAATTCAAAATGTCGAATTAAGTATATGGCGGAAGATTATTTAAAAACGTGATTAGATTCGCTTGAAATTCACCACTCGGGGAATTTTTAGCTTTATCATGAGATTAATAAAATTTCTTTTTATTGCAGATTACTACAAGTAACAATTATTGAACAAAACCCCAACATTTCAACATCCGATATACATTTGATAGCAAGTACATTAACAGGAAGTGCAACCGGATATACGACATTGTTTGATTTCTTAGCTGATCATTGGGACGTGGTAAAAACTAGATTTGCCGCACATCCAAATCTATGGAATCGAATTATTAATACTGCAATTTCATCATTTAATACACAAGAAGGATATGAAAAAGTTGCTAAATTATATGCCAGTAAACAAGAGGAATTCAAAAATGAATTCCAAACTATTATTGAAGAAGCTCTAGAAAATATCAAAAGAGAAACACAGTGGAGCGAAAAGAATTTCCCTGTCATTAATGCATGGTTGGATACAAAATTGACAAAACAAAATCTTGAACAAAGCACTTTAACAAGTACAAACAGTTCTGAATTATCGTCACACATGGCTGGTTGAAATATTTATGATTTTTGGTTGTAAAAAAAATTTTTTTTTTTATATTTGTGGTAAGAACAATATTATAAAGTTTGAAAGCAAATAATGTAACTTTCACATAAGTTACATATAAAACTGATTCACGAATAGAAAAAATATATTCTTGCCTTATTAATTGTAATTGGTAATTTTTATAACAAAATTTTAATTTTGAAAAAGTAAAAATTATTTCATTTATTCGCAAAAATCTGAATTAGTGATAAAAAAGCAAAGATTTTTATAAATTAAGTTAATTTATTAAATTTTGTTTTTTGGTGCAAATTTTTATTGATAATTTTTATCACTAATTCAGATTTTAGAAATGAAATATAAATATTTTTTTATGTATTATTTATTAATTAACATGAATTCTGTAGTGACTCCATGTATATTCATTTAATTAATTAGTATAAAATAAATTGTGAAAGTTACGAGTATTATCTAAAATTTTGGATCAAATTTGGAATCAGAGTTCTCTAAATCTGAATAAGTGAAATTTTTATTCAGCACTCTGTTGTACATTTATATTGTTTAAAAGAAACTTATCAAATAGTTTTAAGGTATACATCACTTGTCAAATATATTTTATATATTGTTCATCGATTAATGAACCATTACATTTAATTTTATTTTAATATCTATTTCAATTAGAATAGAAATAATGTAAGCAAAAAATATTTAATGAATATAAAAATCTGACAATATTGTAATTGTACAAAATAATAAACTTTATGTATTATTACTTATAATTTGTACAAAAAACGTTTTTAAATTATTTTTTCACATCTTTGTACATGATTGAAAGAAATAAAACTTAAAAATAACATTTTTTTATAATGATTTGTAATAACAAATATGAATTTACTATCAGAAGGTAATGTTAAGATATTATTATTAATTATCCAAAAATGGTAAACTATAATCCAATGCTGATAATTTAGAATTCTACGAAACTAACTAATTTATTATCTTACAATGCAAAATCTCTGAATGTAGTTTGAAAATATCGGTAAATGAAACAAATTTTAGAGGAAAGAAAAATTTGAAGAAGGCGCTAGTTGAAATTTTCTATAGAGTTTACTGCAGTATCAACCGCTACAATAGTTATCCGCGGAGAAGATAAGTTAGGTTTGTTTTTGCGTGAACAGTAATTTACAAAATAGTGCGAAAGATGTTGCTAGTAATGAATAAAAATAATTTAAAAAATTACTAACTTTAAATTTAAAATAAATTTCATTTTCAATTTTTTTTCAATAAGTAAAAAAGAAAATGGAAATGTTGCATGAATAAATATTATTTTTACTTTTCATAATATTTTTAATTAGAATAATTGAAATTAAGGAAAAAGTGAAAAAAAAGTACTTGACATTTACTTAAAAATAGCGGAAAACTATTGTCGCAATAAAATTCTTTCAACGACTTTAATAATCTAAACTAAAAAAATGCTATTTATATTTGAAAAAAAAAAAACTGCAACATTATTATTTTCAATAGATTCCGAACTTCTTAACGATATTTCCTCTCTTTATATAAAACTTGTTTTTCCTCCACTTCTTTGGTAAACAAAATTAGAAAAATATCTTAAGAATAAATGTCCACAACTTTTTACAACGGCAGATTTGCAGCCAATCGATTGGCACGTTGCCCTAAGAACTTCGCGATTGATAACCGCGAGCCAGAGAGTAATGTACTGTCGGGGTTTAGCACAAAAAAAAAAAGAAAAAAAAAACCTGTGGTAGATATATGATAATGGGAATAATCCTTCGATATCTTACCCTTTATGGGTGTTACTCGTTTATAAGCGCTTTTGGATCGTGTTCAATTCGTCTCCTCCTCCTCCTCCTCCTCCTCCTCCTCCTCCTCCTCCTCCTTTCATCCATATCTTCTGTCGATCGATTTGGACTCATTGGCTCCCCTCATTTTCTATCTTTCCATTATAATACGATATTTCATTAGCGCAATCATGCTCATTTGTTATATTCTGCGGGAAAAACCTTTCGATAAATGAAATGAATATCTTATATATATGAATTCCCCTGGACATCTTTTTTTGTACAATTAATTTATGCTATTCTCAAAAAAAGAGGACATTTTAATATGGATGTCTTATAATCACAGCAAAATTGATATTTTAGGATATCTCACAGTAAACTTGGTTGTATCTTTTTCTATTGCAACGTTTTGATGCACATAAGTTATATCAAAAAGAGATCGTTTTGTGTATAATTTTTAGAAATGATACACGAAACGGTCTCATTTTTTGATGCAAAAAATTTAATCAATTTATATCAATCATGGCCGAATTGAATCGATTCAAAATTAAACGAATTTTTTTCAGATATTTTGGTAATAGTATAATTTCGGAGACCATTTCACTATTTAATTTGAAAATGAAAATAACAGAAAATCAAAGACAATGTGCAATTCGATAATTAAAAAGTGACAGCTTATAAACATAACCTAAAATGCATGAGAAAAAATTTGTCGATAAAATCAATATAGCCGAGCTTTTTAGAAGGTAGATGGCAGTTTTGCTTTTTATAAAAACGATTCAGAAAAAATTTAAAGAAAGAAAATAGATAAGTGCTGCCATCTACCTTCTAAAAAGCTCGACTATATTGATTTTATCGACAAATTTTTTCTCATGCATTTTAGGTTATGTTTCTAAGCTGTCATTTTTTAATTATCGAATTGCACATTGTCTTTGATTTTCTGTTATTTTCATTTTCAAATTAAATAGTGAAATGGTCTCCGCAATTGTACTATTACCAAAATATCTGAAAAAAATTCGTTTAATTTTGAGTCGATTCAATTCGGCCATGATTGATATAAATTGATTAAATTTTTTGCATCAAAAAATGAGATCGTTTCGTGTATCATTTCTAAAAATTATACACAAAACGATCTCTTTTTTAAAGAGTGCATCAAAACGTTGCAAAGATTTGATGCAATTTTTGGTCTCAATTTGATACTTTTAGGAAAACTGTGCTTAGGGATATCCTAATTTCATTGGATCAAATGATGTCCTTAAAACATTCTGAAATATCCATTTTCTGTAAAATTGTATGTGATTAATTACCAAAATTTGTGACGATCAATCGCATTTTTTATTCGGATATTATTGAGATCGTATATATTATAAGAAGGTCGAAATCCCGCGGGATTGTCGGACATAATGGCGGAAGCCATCCGGTGGCAACAAACCGGAACGGTCGAGGATTCGGGCGGCTTTAATTATCCCGCGGCCTCCTAACGTGCAATTAATTCCGAATGCGGTTTAGTTTAGCGTACGAAGAGCAAACAATGTATTACCTTTAGACCTCCTAAACGTAGGTGGTTACGGTGGATGGGGGGGAGGGCCACTTTGTGCAAATAGCATGGATCTGCAGATAGTGCATGCTTTCCCTTCTGACCTCTTCGTCGGTCCCTATTTCCCCATCAAGCCATCTCTTCCTACCTCTTGTATCTTATTCGAATCCACCACCACCACTCTCTCTCTCTCTCTCTCTCTCTCTCTCTCTCTCTCTCTCTCTCTCTCTCTCTCTCCATGCCTTCTGGAAAGCAGGGTTAATGCTCTGTGAATTTGTGATTGCCTCTAATGCTAATCTCCAAGGCTCAATTTTCAAGTTCCATTGTAAAAGTAATGTCGAATAGTTTATGTATAATCTCTATTTAGTAAACGATCATTTTGATAAGAATAAAAAAAAAAATAGGAAAGCACAAGATTTATACTTTCGCTGATAATCCTCACAGCATCCGGATATTCAAGATATCAAACGGATATTCTACGGATATCCCAATTTTCCAATCCTACGGGCAAAAATCTAATAAAGCAAGGACCTTAAATGTCCTTGTAATGATCTTGAATGACTTTTACTTGGATATCGAACGTTCTTTATTTGACCTTCAAATAACCTTGACTTCACCTCGTATGACCATGACTTGACCTTGACTGACCTTGACTTTACCTTCAATTGACCTTGATTAACCTTGGATGACCTAGACTTGACCTTGAATGTCCTTTATTTAACATTTCAATGATCTTGTCCTTCACTGTAAAAAGAAAGTACTAAAATAGAACCGATTTTAGGTATCAAAATAGAACCAAATGACAATTTAGTACCTAAAGTCGGTATTAACCCCTTGACAGTCCAGGGCCCATATGTGGCCAGAAAAAGTCGTGTCACCTTTGTGCAAGTGGCCATATATGGCCATCGCAAAAAAATAATACTAAATTTAATTTGATTCGCCTGAAATTTGTTACTCGGGGGTTTTTGGGGTCGCTGAATCCAAATTTGAAGTCAGATTTCAAAAAAACAAAATGGCGGACCCAAAATGGCAACCATGAAAACTTAAAATTTATCAGATTTACATGAAACTCGTTGCTCAGGGGTTTTCGGGGTCTCTGATTACGAATCTGAGGTCGGTTTTTCAAAATTCAAAATGGCGGATCCAATATGGCGGATAATTTAAAAATTAATGCGTTTTGACCACAAATTGTTACTCGGGGGTTTTCGTAGTCGCTGAATTCGAATTTGAGGTCAGTTTTTCAAAATTCAAAATGGCGGATCCAATATGGCGGACAAATTTTTAAAATTTGAATTTAGCGACCCCAAAAACCCCCGAGTAACAAATTTCAGGCAAATTGGATTGATTTTTTAAAAATTTGTCCGCCATATTGGATCCGCCATTTTGAATTTTGAAAAACTGACCTCAAATTCGAATTCAGCGACCACAAAAACCTTAAATATGATGAAGTCATATTTTTTTGGAAACTTTTTTTTCGGACCGTTTTAGGCCCACCAGCGATTTTTAACTGGACTGCGAAGGGGTTAAATTAATACCTTTCGTTTTACAGTGTTCAAATAATCATGATTTGACATTCAAATGACCTTAAATGTCCTTGAAATGACCTTTATTTAACCATCAATGACCTTGAAATGATTTCGAAATTAACTTGAACTTCACAAAAATCCTAGTATATTCTAATTTTCCCGAATAAAATAATAATACTTGATGTTTGTAGGACATTCTGAATATTCGGATACTCTTAGAGGAGGCATGATTTAATGTTGATTAAAAAAAAAAATTGTGATACCTTTTTTTTTTGATATACTACAATTCTAATAGGTGAGAGCAAAAAACTTTTCAACCTTATTTTTTTGGACCATACTCTATTTGAACGCGTATTTTTAACTTTTAAGGTTTTTTTTTTATCTTAAAAATGAAAAATAATGTCCTTACGTGAAATTTAAAATGTTTTTTTATATTATACTTTGTAATATTCTTGATGGACACTAAGCTTTTTTCAAATATCCATTATAATACTTAAATATAAATATATAAAGTTCTTCAATGTGGGTTAATGGTTTTTGAATAATATAATGTGGTCTTTTTTCGATACAAGCTAGAAGGAGATTTTAAAAAGAATTTTTTGCTAACAAATTTTAAAAGTGCATCTTTTGAAAAAATATAATATATTTAAAAGAAATTGAGGTGCTACAAATAAAATCCGATTTTCAAATTTCATGCTTCAGTATACCTGTTCTTATTTTTTGCTACGCCTAATAAAGTTTACTTGTTTTTTTTTAAAAACTATTTTACTTTGAAAAATCAAAATTTATTTGATTCAAATAGTTATACTTGACTATTATCAAATAAATATTTCTTTATGTATTAAATTATTATAAATTGTATTTTATTAATTAAATTATTATCAATCTTGAAAGATTTCGATTTATTTACGTGAGGGAAAGATGGAAACATAAATATATACACATATATAGACAATGGATGAAATAGGATTTAGAAGGGAGAGAGAAATAT